CTCCAAATAGGAGGATACTAGAGAAAGAGCTTTAGAAGTTGATATGTGCTTTAATTGTTATGGCAAGCTTGTGGCTACTGGAGCCCCAATGTGGATTCAAGGCAGCTCTGTGGCTGGTATTACAAGTCTGGAAGCCAGCCACTGTAATTCTAAACACCAGATGTTGATATCTTTAAAAAGTGGGGAGGGTATGAGTAACATAAGCAAAAGCTTTTGTCCAGCCTACACAACTGACCACCTTTGAAATAGAGGAGTGGAGGTCACAACTAGGAATGCAAAAAGCATTCTTTTAATGATGTTCCCGTCATTCTTTTCCAAGCCCAAAGCACTCAGGGTATGTGGACAGATAAAACTGACACCTGCCTATAAGAGGAGGAGGCATACTTTTAGCAATCTTTTCTAATCTGGTGCTCTCCAAACTGGTGCTGGTGGAAATTTAGTCATGTGAAGGGATCATGTTGGAAAAATGGCTTTGGATACTTACCGCACTGGATAGCCCCTAATAAACCTATTGGAATCAATGTTAAGTGACAAAACACCCTCTTGCATGATGTGTCTGTTCCATTTTGGGCTGCAGTGAGGAATCAGATGCTTCACTGGGTTCATTAAAAAATAAAAAGTCACTGCACATAAAAGATGACAATAATAGACAGAAAGGTGGGGAATTATATAGAGTCAGTAGAGTTCCCACTCTTCCCGTCCACCCCACTCCCCCTGCCTCTCTGTTTTCAGGAAGCAAAATCTTCATCTCCTCTGCAGTCAGATGTGATACAACCCACCAAGAGAAGCTTCACATTTGATTCTTAAGGCCAGTGGTATGCAAAGGGCTAAATAAATGAATCAGTTCACTGGTATGGTATGCCTCCAAAGCTGAAACAGCATGTTCCAGGAGACAAAGTCTGCATGTCAGTCTGGTCAGGGCTTTTAGATCTGGACTTTGCTGTGCAATTTTGCATAGTCTACTGCGTCTAACATTATTCTGCCTTAGCTTTGTTGTTGTGAAGATAAATAACTGAAAATAATATATTTGGAAGGTAGGGATAGATATCTTTTGCACAATCTTTTTGTGCTTTGCTTAGTATGTTATTTCCATGTATTGGTTTTATTTATTTATTTCATATCTATCCATATATGTGTAAGTACACACATAGGCACACATATCCCAAATTTCCTTCAGCTAATGCCCTGATTGTAAAATCAGATTTCCTGTCATGTTTGATTATACTTTGAAGAATAAAATAAAATATTGTGCAAGCTTACCATAGACCAGTTCTTACTGGTTGTCACATGCACTACAATATGCAGGATTCCATTGGTCTAGGCGGTTAATCTTTGTATTAATGGATCCACTCAGTGGATCCATGTGATGAGCTCAGAATGTAGATGCTATTCTTCCCATCTCATTCCTATCAGATAGGTCATAAGACACACATCTATCCAGGGATATGAACCAAGACACTATGTAATTTGACAACACTTTTGCTGCTGACATACTGAATGGTTCTAATTAATAACTTTTGCTATGTGTGCCCTTCAAACATTTTAAATACAGGCCCCATAATTCCCAGATAATGTGGCCAAAATGTGGCTGGAAATCATAGGAGTTGAACTTGAATACATCTGGAAAGGAGCAGGTTATTGAATGCCGAGCCCCAGCATCTGGCCTAACAAAATCAAAACTCTAGCAATGGTTCAAATCATATATATTCAGCTAAGAAGATATATACGTACGTTGTAATCAGCATGATCAGTTGCAGGACTGGAAATGTGACATCCCAAAGCTAAATAAGAATTCACTTGCACACCCAAGCTATGTGGCCAGTATACACACTTCGTTTCTATATAATAACAGCACTATTTCTCAGTCTGCTGTAATATGTGGATCACTGGAAGAGTGTTACTGAAACTGGGACAGTATAACATATTCTACAAACCATGTTATTTGTTGCTGCTATATCTATAATGAGAGCAGGAATGGGAGGCCAAGGACATTGTACTTGTTGCTGAAGCCCTCTTATGTGTTAATTTCAGCCAGTAGAGCCAATGGTTAAGGATGATGGGGTTCAGCAGTAACGGAGAAGATGAGTTGTCCAGTTCGGATGCAGATAACCAGAAAGCCGGTGTATTTACTGCTCTTACTTTAAGGGTTGGGACATCTCCAATCCAATATATGTGTGAAATCCAATGATCCTTAGAGATAGAACTGTCTGGATTTTCTATTGAATAGATGTGTTCTAGAATTAGAATGGTAGTACATTCTGGTGTGAATTATCAAGAAGAACAACCATAGCTTTGATCTTCCATTCATCTACATGTTCTATAGTGCATTTTGTCACGTGGTTGAAACAGTGTCACCTCAGGGCAGCAAGTTCACCGAATGTTGTTTTGCGTTCCTGCTTAGACAAATGAAGTATAACTTTGCTCCTGACAAGTATAACTAGTGTACACAACAAGTTGGTTTTCCAGTTATAACACAATATGCCTGCTTTGTTTTAAGGTCTTCTTTCCATCTTATCAGCTCAACAGTTTATTAAGTTATTTAAGGCCATTGCTTTTGACTCATACTTTGCACAAAGTTATTCCAGGATAGTGTTTTGTTTTTCCCTGGTTCTTGGCTACAGACTTCATCAGCCGAGATATACACGGTTCTTGGGAAACTAACAGAATCCTGTGAAGTCCTTGAAAAAAGTAGATTTATTTATCAACCCAAAGTAATTATGGAGATATCCCATGCAATGTTCTGCTTAAGGCACAGTCAAAGAGCCACTTAAGCAGAATGTTCACTAGTGAATATCCTTAGTCCTAGCCATTTGTGAAAAGGCTTTCAAATGGTTTTGAGCTGCACTATGTATGGTATTAGAAGAAAGAGCTTGACATGGTTTTGAGCTTCAGCATTTCTCAGTTTGAATTTATTTGTTCATGTATGGGAAATAAGATTCACTAATAGATTATTGTAGCACGGATTAAGCTTGACTATCAAGAACCAGTGGAATTTCATTTCACTGAGTCTTTCACTGATGTAAATAATCCTGTTGCCCTTGCCTATTGTAAAGTTCATATGGCAGAGTAAGACATAACAGAGAGCCAGTCTGGTGTAGTGGTTAAGGCACCAGGTTAGAAACAGGGAGATGGAGAGTTCTACTCCTGCCTGAGGCACAAAGGCAAGTGGGTGACCTTGGGCCAGTCACTCTTTCTCAGCCCTAGGAAGGAGGCAATGGCAAACCACTTCTGAAAAACCTTGCCAAGAAAACTGCAGGGACCAGTTTTAGTCCAGGTAGTCACCAGGAGTCAAAACTGACTTGAAGGCACACGCGTACGCGTGCACACACACACACACACACACAGTTATAATTACGTCAGAAGGGTCTTACACTACTAACGTGGGCTATATATTGTCGTCACACACACACACACACAGTTATAATTACGTCAGAAGGGTCTTACACTACTAACGTGGGCTATATATTGTCGTTTACATGGTGCAGTGCCCTTTCCTTATGTCAGCTGCAACACCAATTAAAAGGTTTTTCATAGTTAGTGAAAGCATATACCAAATGGCACCATGAGGAATGTGATATATACAATCATGCCAGGAATAGTTTTAAATGCCAGGGCTGCAAATGATTTCCCCCCCAAGATGCAACCAGCTATTCAAGGCCAAATGTAAGGATAAGTGGTATCAGAGACTGTGAGATAGCTTCATCACAGCGCTCATCTGCTGGAGTGAAATGAAGAAACCAAAGAGACAAATTAAAATAATGGTATTCATTCCCCAAAGGTATCTAATGTCACTAAATCCTGTTCTCTTCCTTTGGGTCCCTCTGCAGAATTTTTAAGTTGAAAAACATGGCTGATCTTCTATAGTTTAAAAAAAAGAGAGAAAAGGGGCCTTTACTGCTTCATTGAAACTGACACACAGTAGCATCTTATTCAAAACATACTGCCAAGGCAAATAAGCCATTCTTGGAAGAACCAAATGTCCACACTTTTATCATTATTTTGCCTTTTAAAAATGTTTTTCCAGCAACTGAGAAGCTGAAATGACTGATTCTATTGTTGCAGCAGATGGCAGATGGACAAATGAACAGACAGCTTGAAGCAGTTGCAAGTTTTTGGCACTCCGTCTGCATATTTCCAGTGCATTTGTGTCCAATACTTGAGCCCAAAAGTCTGCTTCTATCTATCAAAAATCAACTCTGCAGGATAAAATGTGCCTGAAGAGAAAGATGGGTATGAAAAATTTCTCCAATGCTTTTATCTTTGAATTAATAGTGTTGATCTCAATGTCAGGCATCCGATACTACAAAACCATTTCTGTAATGTTTTATTCCTTCAGTGTTTTGAATGCTCAGCTGGCTAGTAACATGTGCTGTGCCTTCAATGCACAACAAAGGCAATCTACATTAGCAGGACTCATTAAACATGCAGCTCTTTAGTCTCACAAGCTGTTGTGAGAGGCAGCTGTTGCAATGTAGTAGGTGAAAGGTCAAGTCACTTCAATGGAAGGTATTTCCTTTGTTCAGCCACTCTCACTGCCTAAACCTTTTCAGCCAATGATACAAAACTGTGTGCTGCTCCAATCTTTAAAATTTTAATAGATACACAAGATAGCTATTTTTGTAAGTCATAGCAAGATAAGTCACACGTATCTTTAACATTATAACTTAAAATGTATTCCAGGGAGCTGTGGTTATCTCCATAGTATATGCTGACATGTGTGCATTTCAACCACTCTTAAGTGTTCTGGAGCTACATACCATAGATAAAAAAATACTCGTATTAAAAACAGCAAGTATAAACCCCAAGACTGAATCAGATCAATTGTGTTTCATCCCCTAGTACTTGAGTACCTCCTGTTACATATAGGAAATAATTAAGGTGTATGTCAGTATCTAATGCCCCCATCTGCTTCATTTAAACTTTGATTGCAGATCCATTTCCCCACCACCATCTCATAAGCAAGACCATCACTACATACAAGTTAATCTTCAAAATTTATTATAAAATATATAATATCTTCAATAGCAGCATCAATTTCAATTAAAAATAATTATTGCAAAATTGATTTTCAATGCAAAATGTAGTCCAAAGGCCTCTGACAGATCAGTCTTCATTAAAATCTTTATATAAATGCAATGGTACCAGTGTGTGCTAAGCTTCCAGTCTCTTGGGGACTTTGGGTGCCCCATCAACCATTCCTGATTACAGTGTCCATGCATTCCCATGCCACCTGTGTCCAGTTTTCCAACTTTCTCCCCTATTTTGCTACCACAAACATTTCATCTGACTTGGAAACCTGCAACAGTTTTTTTTTTCTTCTGCTCCTTAAAATATGAAATACTTCTTCAGCTCCAAACATGCCAGCTTCTTTACCACTGCAGTTGGGGACTTCCTGTTGGCATAAGCCATCCCCGTCCCTCTTTTCTTCTCTTCTCCACAAGATCCCACTGTGTGCTGACTGAGCGACTTAATCCAAGCTGTTGACCGGGCTAATCCCCAGAATCAGCCACTTGTTGGGTTGCCTAGATGTGTAACTCCAGGACGAGGGAATGCAACAAAAGGTGTGAACCTCTTCTATGCATTGGATTTTCAGCCTCCATCACTCAGGCAGGGCAATATTGGGCACCCAGTCATTGACATTTCGACTCTCCTCACAAAACAAGTTCAGCTTGTCCAAGGCTGGATCTTTCCAGGCATCCTCATTGGGATTCTACAATAAAAAAAATCAGGATCTGTTAGTGAAAGCTGTCCAGCTGGAAATCATCAACGTATTTTAGAGCACAAAACAAAATGTTTTCCTTACTTGGAATAATAAAAATAACTGATGTCCCCAATAGCAGTAGTAACACTTTTGCATGGAATTCAAGTTACTATTTAATATTCATATACCATCTCAGCCCTGTCAATTAATGTACAAAATTGGTTCCCTTGGGAATAGTCTACTGCTGGAAACATTTCAGCTATGCCTTGGACATATCCAGGAAGCTCAAATTGTTCTAACAGTCACTAGTCTGCCTGCAAAATATGACTAGTGACACAGGGAAACAACCTCAAGGGTGGAGGGAGGAAGAGAGATGTAGGGGAAATCCCACACTTTGCATAATCCTGCATAAAGGTCAAGTATTAAAAGACACAAAAAACACTGGGAAATTTTGCAAGCTCAGAGGACTGCAGCCAGCCCCATCTAAATATTTTCTAAGCAGATACAAGGCACTTACCGTAATGAGAATGCAGTGCAGATCTCGGGGCTCCCCAGCTTCCTCCCCAGCACCCACGATGGCAGCTAGCTTCTGGATGTCATTTACTCTAACAATGTCAATGTCGTTTTCACAGCAGAAAGCTTGGATGAGGGTGAAGTGGATCTGGAGGGCAATGTCTCCCTCGTCCTCCTCATCCGCAGCCAGCACACAGAAAGCCACGGTATCTGGATCACTGCAGAAAAATAATGAGGGGAAAGCAGGGGATTAGCAGGGATCCGAGGATACTCCAGCCACCGGGGAGGGAAAAAGAGCTGAAGCCCCTCGCTCCAAGGACCGAGCAGGCGTCTACGGCTGGCCGTTTAGCCTGCCGCCAACCGCCACATTGCGCAGACGGAGCCGGATACTCACACATTCATCAGCTTGGCGGATTCATAGACGCCTGCGGTGAGGCAGCCTCGGCGCTGCGAGGCGACGAGCAGCTCCTGGAGAGCCTTGCCGGCGCTCTGCATCCTGGTTCCGCTCGCGCCGCTGCTGCTAGTGGTGCTGCTGCAAGGGAAGCGGGGAGAGCGGGTCAGTGGCGAGAACTCAGCCCGGCGCTGAAGGGAGCCAGCCTATCCACGCTGCGCTGCAACGGACGCGCCCCGCTCCGGCTCAGCCTCGCCACCAAGGCAAGGGACGGCTTCGAGCGAGATTCCCTTCCCAGGCGTCGAAGAGCGCCCGTCCTCTCTCCCCTTCCCCGGGCTAAGCCCTAAGCAGCAGGCTCCGGCGGATAGTTACCTGTCGCTCGTTTCAGGCACTGGTTCCTGGCCGTGAATTTCCTCCAGAGTCATAATGGTCCAAAAGACAAGGAAAAATAAAACACGAGGATTATCCACACAAGGTTGGCTCCGCAGTTCCAAGAAAAATAATCTTCCGGGCAGCGGTACGGCAAAAACCCAAAACTGACGCTCCTCTGCTATTCTTCCTTTCTAAAGTCCCAATCGTGTCTGAGTGGCGAAGAGCTGCGCTTGCCCTATATATAGGCTGCGGAGCTACTGTGCCGGCAGCTGCCGGAATGTCGCCTCTTCTGATTGGCTGAGCCTGGGGTGTATTGTTATGTTAAGCAGACAGTCGGGTAGACCCGGCTCGTGCCGGGAGGCCACGTGGGGGAACGGGGCTGGGGGGAGCGGGTAATGGTGTGGAAGGGGACGGGGGATTACAATGCCTCGAATCTGCTACGGCTGCTTTTGTTATGATGTTACTAGGCAGACTGCGGCCGACATACTTGATCTTCGAAGGGGGCGGAGGGAAGAGCGAATGACTCAAAGGAGGGAGATTGTCTTAGATGGGCAACTTGTGGCATAAGTTCCGCCAAATGCGCTAACGCGATGGAGTTTACCCTGAGTTATTTCTTTTTAAGAAACAATTCCATTTGCAAAAAAACTCTGCCCCCATCCTGTTCCCAAATGAAATCATTTGCGGTATTACCAAACCCAAACTAAATTAACGACGTGTGGGGTACTCGATCTGGTGGTCCTCATCTCCACATTTGGAAGATGGCTCAGGCTTCTAAAGCCTCAAATCTCAAAACGCTGGTATTTTGCAGAAGCAATCCGAAATAGGCTTTGCTAGGAGAGGGGACTGAAGGTGTGGGAGGGGGAGGGGGAAGAGGGGGAGGGGAGGTTCCTGCAAAGTTCACCAGAATGAGAGTAGACCCAGTCCGGCATGTCTAATGAGCTGCTGCCAGAAGCAGATTGTGGAAGGCACACGCTGCTCGTTTGCATTTCTATGGAGACCTCACAATAGCGGAGGTCTGGCGTGTGGCAGTTTGGAGCGCAGACAATTGAGGCTTTCTCTTCATAGCTGCACTGTCCACCTGCCACTGGGTGAAGATTTGCTTTGGGCTGAAGGGTGGTAGGAGGGGGCCGAGGAGGGAGGAAGGGAAAGGGGGACAATTGCATTACTCTCTTGGGTCAGCCAATCTGCTCCTGCTAATGAATGTCTCCACTTGCACACACGCTTCCAAAGTGCAATTGAATTCGGAGGCCTTTGGAGCACGCAATCGTCTCTTCCTCAAAAGGCTCTGTTATTTGGCCTTTGTCTTTGCCCCTAAGCCACGCTTTCAGACATTGCAGGACATCAGTCAAGCACACCTGGCCTGGGGCCCCCTCCGCCAGGCCCAACCAGTCTTATGAAATAGAAAGCAAAAAGTGCTACACCTGTTCTCAAAGAGGTAGACTCCAAGATCGTCTCTGGAAGTGAGGAATGAAGATTCAGGACAGATGAAAGGAAGGAGTTCTTCGTGTGGCCCGTGATTCTCTTACAGAATTCATTGCAACAAGATATAACAGATACCAGCTTGGAAGATAGTAGGCATATCAACGGACTATGAGGTTATCAGTGGCTAGTAGGCAGGATGGCTGATTATTCCAATAGTAGTGAATGGGTGACTGGGGAACATAGGTGCAAGATTTATATTGTCCTCCTGTCATGGTTGTAGACTTTCCATTGAGGAAACAGAATGCTGGACAGGCTGGCAGAGTGTTCCTTGCAATTAATGATAAGGCTCAAGGCAGGAAGGGTCCAATTATTTCTTTATTCGACTATTTTTTCAAACCTTTTTTAATAGGAAAAAGAGCACAAATAATTTATCTTGTGAATTAAAGAAATGAAAATCCTAGGCATGCTAAGGTCTCCCCAGACTTTCTTTTTTCTTTTCCTTGTGTCTTATTTCTTTCAGCAATTGCAGGGTAACAGCGCCACCTGCTGGATGATAATGCACATCTTTCAGGTTGTAACAGTGGGCTGAAACCAAGTTTCTAAGAGGAGAAGGAAAAAGCTTCCCAGTAAATAAAACACAAGTAGATAAAATCCACTAGGTAAAACACTGCTGAATGACAGCAGATAAAAAGTCCATGTTAACTCCTTTTGCATATTCTCCCTACATACACTTTGGGAGTTTGTAGTCATTTTGTTCTGGCACATGAAAGCAGCTGTTTCTATATATTGGGTCCTTTGAAAGGAGAAATTACTTTCTATGTCAAATAGAATTGTGCCACCTTGTGGATATGCAATTCAATGGCTTCCAGGAAAAAAAAAGAGTTGGATGCAATTTAGCTTACAAAATCATAACCAAGTCCTATTGGAAATATGCTCCCAAGAGCATCTACCTGAATCACATGCTGTAGATGAGAAGAAATGTCATGAGTTAATACAGTCAGTTTATGAAGTTGTCCAGCCTGTTCCTAGCCAGCACTCTTTCTAAAAAGAGGAGAGGCAGGCGGGAGCTCCCAATCAGAGCAATTGCACTAAAGAGCAAATAGGACCAAATAAATTTAGCAACAAAGGAGGAGAAAGAGAGAAGCACATTGACCTCCCACCTCCAGCGATATAGTGCCAAGGTGAATTCAATGACCATATGAGGAACCCAGAGTTCCAAATGCTGTGAAAGGATAACAAAGAGTATTTAAAGAAGAAGGAATCCAAATTACCAATAATAATTAATATGACATTACCAATAGTAATTAGCATGAAAAAAACCAGAGGACTGGGTGGTGTCCAGTTAATTGCACGGTGTGTCTTTGGATGAAGTCATGGACTTGTGCTTGGCGCAGTGAGGTCTAAGCTCTCAGGAAATATGTTTGTTCCACTGAAACAAAGCTAACTGAACTGGAGCGGGTTAGAGAGCCAGAGAACCATGTAGATGAGACCTTATTGGGTCTGATTGTTTCATCACATTTGCAAGATGATAGCTGTCAGAGAGAACAAGGGTCTTAAGGGAGAAGGACATCATTTCAAGGTTAAGGGTGATGTTTTCATAGGAGGGAAAAGGTCTTTGGATGATGAACTCACATTCTCTCATGTCAAGGATACTTCTCTGGAGAATGGACAACTTTTGGTTGTTGGTAATTTAGCCATTACAAACAATCTTTGAGTCAAGATGGGAAATTAGAGTGTTTGGTTGCAAATGAGAACATAGATACTTGCTATAACAGAAACCTGGTAGAATAATTTGAAATAGTGGGATACAATGATTACTGGATATAGACTTTAAAGAAAGGACAGAAAGAGTGAGAATGCTGTTGTATTGATATCAGAGAAGGTATACAATTCAATGTAGTAGAAAACATTGCAAGACAGAATCACTGTGGATTGCAATAACTGACCACACATGTATATTGGGTCTAGAAATATATCTGATCAAATCTAATTTGAGGAAAAGAAGTCAGAAATGAATGCAAAAGAGATATTGTTGAAATATTGGTTGATTATTACAAATATCCTCACATAGTATAAGTATGGTATGTTAGTATGTTCATGCTCAGGCTAGAACAAAGAATCCACATCATTAGATAAATGAATTTCTTTTAGTACAGTGGGTCTTGAAACTGACCAGAGAGGAGGCAACTTAGTTTAATCTAAAGCAGTGCCCATAATCTACTGCGAGAAGTAAATGTTGTGAAAGCAATAGGACCATCAATCATAAAGTTATTGCATTTATCATGCACTCACATGGGAAACTGCCAATGGGGTCCAACACAGCCATGTTTGACTACAAAAGAAGAGACTTATAAAAATATATGTAAGGGGATTTGTGAAAAAAAAAGACTGAAAGGACAAGTCAAGAGGGTGAAATCTTCATAATGCCTGGGGGCTTATTTAAAAATAAAATAAATGAAGCTCAGTTGAGATATATTCTGCAATGTAAGAAAAGGTCAAGCATGTCTAAGAAGAAGTCCACATGGCTTTCTCATAGTGCCTAGGAAGCTGAGAAAATTAAGAAGGCTTCCTTCAGAAAAGACTATCCTAACAAGGAAAACAAAAAGAGCACAAACTCTGGCAGAAAATGTGTTAAGTGCTAATAAGCAAAGAAAAAAAGAGTATCTCCCCCACTCAACACAGATAAGAATTTGAGGAAAATATGGCTAAAATATTAAGTGAAGAAATAAGAACTTAATTAAATATATTCAAAGCATAAACTCACCCAATGAAATAGTTGGGCCATTAGATGACAAAGGAGGAAGATGGATTCTCAAGGAGAATATGATTACAGAGAATTTAAATGAATGTGTTTTCCATCTTTCTTTACAAGAGAAGATATGTGACAGATACCTTGCACTGACTTTCTCAGTGAGGGAATTAGAACAATTAAACCAAACTGAAGTACCAAGGGAAGATATTCTAGGACATCTTGAGATAGTACCCAGTAATAAATCACCAGGTCCTGATAGCATCCATCTACAAATTCTTAACTCAGATCTAAAATGACTGGTCTCCTAGCAAAAATATGCAATTTGTCTCTCAAATTCACTCAGTGCCTGAAGACTAGAAGGTAGCCAATGTGACACCAATTTTTAAAAAAGAACCCAGGGGAGACCTGGGAAATTATAAGCCAGGCATTTTATATTTCTATAAATGATAGAAATGATAATAATTTAAATACTAAGCACACAGAGGAATAATCCTTTCTGAAGGAAACTCAGCATGGATTGTACAGAGGTGAATCTTGCTCCACCAACCTTCTAGAGTGTCAACATATACATACAGTAGGTAGAGGTGACCCTCACAACACTGCATGTTTTGATTTTCGAAAAAAATGTTTTCTCAGCAAAGGTGCAGTCTGGTAGTAGAATGAGGTGAGCTCCTTGGTGGTGATACGATGTCATAGCTGAAAACTTGCAAATGCCAGTGATTTTGATATATAGTATCTCTATGCCAGTGGCGTTGTATCCATGGATGGGAAAGATTTTTTCAAGATAGTAAGCACTACTTCAGAAATATCATTGTGCTGCTGCCTTGTATTTGAAGTGCCAGTCTGTGTTCCTCCTGAAGGGGAATCGTGACTCTCCCAGTTTCCTACTTTTAGGATCCTAATGTAGCAAGATGCTGCCATGATTAGATATACGAGTCAAAATACAGAATCGTTGGCATGCTAGCATTAAGAATTTGGAAGACAATGGAACCCTGGCCATGGAGGATATAGAAATAAGGGGG